GGTTAGTTCGTTGTGATGTTTAGTGATGATTCTGACAGGTAGTGCTTAAATTCAATGTTTATCTCGGCAACGTTCAGGTTTAATTTAGAGTCTTTCGGATTTGCATTTTTTCTACGAATAAACGATTTATTGAATTTTCCAATATTTACCAACTGTTACTTGACGGACCCTATGCTACACCTTCTTGGGAGGAATTGCATGGATTGAAACTGCATGTCTCCATCTTCCGTAAATGAGCGGCTGGTACTAGAGAGCACTCCTTTGGGCTATCCAACACTATGGATAAGATAATAAGTAACGACTCATTTCGAGCGTACTTTTGATAAGGACCGGTGGATGTCCTATTCCACACAACCTGCCCACATCCTATCCACAGGTCATCCACCCTGGAGCTCCTCCACCCTTAGCCTAGGCAGAGGTGTCCATTCTCCTGGTCCAGGACCGTTCCCTTGGACCATGGCAGGCGGAAATGTGAAACGTTTCAGGGTTTCTCACCACATTACACCGATATTTATCAGAAGTCTACTTTAAATGAGTCGATTACGTGTCGTGAGCCCTCTAATCCTTATCTTGAGTATTGGAGAAAAAATGGAGTGGCCCCCCCCGAACTGGAGTTTCACCCAATCAGAGAAACTAGAAAAAACTGTTCATATTCGATCCGTGGAAGTGTCACAAATGTTGGGGGCCGTTTATTTTACTCCATTGTTTATTTTTCTTCTTAAACTCCTCCTGGACCCTTTTTTAAACTTAGCACCTATACCACGAACATTTCGCTCTTCTATCATCACCCTTATGTACAGTGCCAGAACATTTTGCCTCCACTCTACAATCTGGGATGTTGCATTCGGGGTCTTCTGATGCGTCGCCTATAACTTGGCCCCACCACGCAGCTCGTTCCATGTGCTCATTGGCTCCGTCCAGATGTCCGTCCGTGTCCATGAAATATGGTTTTGGAAGACCTGTTTTTTTTTGGAAGCTGAATTTTCATGCTACTTTTGTACACTGCATTTTGTAATCACAAATGATGACGATTTGTGCGGAAAAAGAATAGAGTACGTCTCCACGCACAGTCG